TATGCGGTTAGGGGGAAACGCGGAACAATTAAGCGGGGAACATTGTTGGGGTGGCAATATGCTGAAGATATGACAAAGTAAATGTGAAGGGTAAACTATGTTTCATTTCACAGATTTTAACAGGAGTGATGTTGATGCACAGGCATAATTTGGGAAATGTTACAAGCAGACAATGTTTGACGTGTGATGACAAATAGAATCAGGTGAGGTATGTAGAGAATGAGTTTAAGGTAGCAGTTGAGTAAAAGTGAATTCGCTTAAACTGTCTGTACAAACGATCTGAAGAGCAGAGCATCGCGGACGTATTAACCGAGGTTATAACGAATTGGCGACGGCGACACAAAATATCCAAATAGTTAAAGACTCTCGTGAGATTTGTCGTTTATGGTAGGGAGGGATTAATTTGCGTGGAAGTACATTAGCAAAGGTCGAAAAGAGTAGGTGGTGAATCGGAGATATATGAAAGAGTTTAGGATTGGGGTTGAAGTTTGAAGATTGAAGAATGATTGTAAATGTCCAGAATGTCATATTGGGTTGTATTGAATGTAAAATTAGTGTGGGTCTGAGGGAATTTTAGCCGTGATGTGAACTATTGCGTTCAGTTGAGGAAAGATCTCAAAATACGCGTCTGTCGCCTTTGTTGTTGCTCAAAACCCCATTGGAATTATATTAACTATTTGAAATACGCGCAAGGTATAGGGGTAGGGGAGGTTTAGTAAATTGAGAGATCTAGTTTTGAAATGGGGATGTTTTTGTAGGTATTAAATATTTTGTGATAATAGGATGATTGGTGCCACTATACACAGTTGCGGCAGAGCATTTCAGGGGAGTGTGCAGGATAGGCTACTGGCGTGTGAGGGATTGTGGTTTAGCGGGAGAGGATAGTGCGCTTGAGACCGTTGATGTGAGGCGGTGTGGAAATGTAGTTAGGAATGAGAGTGTATGGGTGGTTTGATGAGCATGATTTCTTGAATACATAAAATTTGAATCTTGGAGTATAGCTTTTAGAGATTAGATTTTTTTTAATTATAAAGCGTTCGGCGCAATTCAAAGATGAAAGGTTTAGGATTAAAGAGGTATTATGAGACGTTTAGTTATGAAAATTTCTAAGTTAATGTGCTTGTAAGTATAAATAAAATGTCTCCTGGGCGCTTATAGAAAAATGGTAAATTGGGTGATTGATGAAAGTAAAACTATTTCTTGAGGAGCATGAAATTTAACTCACATGTCATGGAAAGGTCTCTTGATGTTCTTATTGAGCTTTTTGATTGGGAGTGATTATGTGGGAGGAGTGGTTCAAGGTTCAAAGAATAGGAGTTTGTGAGGAGATGGAAAGAGGAATGAGGTAGAATATGTATATGATTTGAAGTCGCTACTAGGACGGTCTGAGCGTGGAGTTGTTGGTAATATAATTGTTATTTCGAGAAGAGGTTCCTAAGTGGTGTCGATTTGTGGGAATCTTTTCTCGTCAGAATGTTGTGGCTTGAAATAGGCATCATGGAGTTCCAGGTTTGCACATCTGACTGATCATCGCGTGGCGTTAATTTTTAGAGTGTCAGCGTACTAATTTTCTACATTTCTGAGGTGTATATAGAGCAGAGTGCAAGATACGCATAGGTCGTCGAGGCAGGCAAAGTGTTAGTAAGAGCGTACACTTTCGGGCTGAATACACTCAATTTCGAGATCTCATCGCACAGTAGCGCCCGGTATACACTGACGTACACATTCCTGTATCATATATCGAGACAAGGGTGTACGAGCAAGGTTATGGCTGAATTGTGCATTTCTCACTTGACGCAACAGTGCTCGCTTTCTGGGTAATTCTTGAGATCATATTCGTCTTCATTCGGGTTATTCTCTCGCGCATACTGCATATGGCTTATATCACAAGCGTCACTCAAGTTGAGAATAAATAAGACTACCAGCAATATACACGCTGTTGTAGATTATACAACCTACATCACTGAGTAACAGTCTCTGTATTCGGTCCAGGTGTTCCCACAAAGGTCTCGTATTGGTCCGATGTTGTTGGAACATTATGTATGATCGGCGTGTGAAGCTCGAGTGCGGAACGGCGCAAGAAGATTGGATTCGCTGACGATGTTCAATTGTCGTTGTCGGCAATACCTCGAACAAGTCCGCAGTGTTGCCAACGAGGTCATGCGCGAGAGATCCGGCGGTGCTTACGTCGGTATAGGGCTAACAGAATGACGCCAAAAAGACGCTGTGCTGGTAGACGGGCAGAAAGGTGAGAGTATTCATCTTAATGTAGAGGCTGAAATACCTCTGCAAGTGTTACTAGAAGGTATTTGGAGAGTGATATTGACGCGAGAACTGCGCTTTGACGAGCACCTCGCGATGATGTCTCCGAGAAGAGCGTCTCGTATGGTATCCAGCATTGGGACGCTACATTTGCATAATGTAGGGGTCCTGGGCACAAGAAGGAGGCTGTTTGACTAAGCGTAGTAAATCTCCCCTTCTCTCTACGCAGCACCCTATTTGGGCTGATGCATGATGGGCATACAGTCGTTAAGACCCGTGAGGGCTAAAGATCCGTGCATAGAAGGTCGCCTTAGCTGCGAAGAAGTGTTATCGCACAATCGAGTATCTATGATTGCTGTGTGATGTGTTAGCAGAATATGCTCGATCGCTGCCTCATGCGTGGCAGGAGAGAGAGGCTAGACTCGATTTTCAGCTCTAAAAATGCGTGGATTGGGCGCGCTCAAACATAGGAATAAATTCATTATGAAGGTAAGTAGAGAGGGGTGACAGTTCTGGAGTACAATGGCAACTCCGAGAAGATGGGAGCAATATCTACAACAAATGCGGCGAGGGGGCGGGACATTAAATGACTTCTTCTCTCTTTAGGAAAACCAAAAATTTGTCTTTTTTTCGGGGCGGGTTTCCCCCCCCATTTTCTGCAGCTACGAGGTACATGAGGTGGATGTGGTCACAGGGAACATGGTGGAGTAATTAGATTTTTATCTACTTGTCAGATGCTGACACGTGGCACGGAATGTTTACGATTAGTATCAGTCCGATTACGGTTGACGATATGCTCCTCATTGCCAAGGTGGTTTCCGGTGATTGAAGATGTAGAACACATGGTTCTTCTATTGTCCAGTCTCTTCCGGCATAGTGGAAAGGGAAGTACTTCAAAGACTCCTTGCAAGAGGAAGTGACCCTGAGACCAACTGGCACTAGGATGACTGCTTAGGACAACCCGCTGGCGTATTTAGAGTATTGGAGTGCCGGTAGCCACCTATGTCGCAAAGGTCCGAAGAGCTACCGATCACGAGTGAGCACTACGAAAGAAGATTCCCGTATATTTCGGTGAAGTGCGAAAGTCATCACTTTCTTACTCGTGATGCAAAATGCTGATGGCAAGTTCCGCGTGGAAAGGAATAGGTAGGAGGAAAGGGAGGGGTTTTTAGTGGGTAGGCATAGGTTAGCTATGAATCCCACACGCTGCGGGTTGTGGGCCCCGCTGTGTCTTTAGAAGATTTTCCCCTGCCCACGTAAAAACACACGCACGCGCGCACACACACACACATTCTCTCTGGAAGGGATGGGAGATCGAACATCAGGATCAAAGTAGAAGTGGAGACCTCCCATGTTTATTTCTATTGATCCTGAACACCTGTTACACAGACTTTTCAAACGAATCCTCAATTGCTTGCACAAGACAGACTGCACTCACAGTCTAACGCCTTTCCTTCCTTAGCGCATACTATAAGAAGAAACCATTGTTTCTTTGGTCTATCCTCTTCTCTCTCTCAAAAAAAAAAACAAAACCTCTTTCAGATCACCTCTCCCTTCTGGAAGAGGGTAAGGAGTTGGTTATCAGAAGGAAGCCGATTTGTCTCTGCTCCCTACCCCACGGAGTCCAAGAAGGGCGCGATATAGAGGAGGGATGACATAGTGATATCCCATCATGGCTCCCTCTATGTTCAGTCACACCTAGTCCAAACCAATTGCTCAGTAGTATGTTAGCTCCCAACTGCATCTCTAGAGGTCAAAGAGAATCACAGTCAACTCCCAGAACATCCATTCAACAAGCTTCACCGTGCACAACAAACACAAGTATCCGTAATCAGCATACAGAGAAAGCCAGGGATGACAAATGAGTGATAAAAGAACAAAGGAGTCATAAAATGAAAAGCAAGATGAAAGATTGAGAAAGAAGTATTTGAGACTCTCTGTACCCCTGCTCCCGGGCTGGTCATGACCCGATGCTCTTAGGTTAAAATTTATTTCATATCCATAGAAATTGATATCTTTAAAACTGAATGTAATGAAAAGGAAAAGGTACGTTCACATTATATGAGATCTTTTTAAATTATCTGGGAGCTGGGCAACCGTTCAACACATCACTGCAATTGAGGCGGATACATATGCCATATGCCTAGAGACCACGATATGAATTAAAATTGATGCCTTATTTTATGTGGCAAGACTCGGGCTGCTCTTCCATATGACCTTGCAAATTTCGTTACGCTTCATTTCCTAAGAAGTGGATAAAGAAGGTATTTCTTGGGCAACATATCACGTGATTTGATATTAGCTCAGAGACTTCACTTACACATAAGGTTCTCTTACATGAAGTAAATTTATCAACATGGGACAGCCAGCTTAATTTCCCCTCCAAAGTATTTTTTTTGCCCTTAAAAATCCATGTCTTTGTTTAGGTTTGAACCTGCAAACTTGGGTATAACAGTCCTATATGCAAACTGTTACACCATTGCTGCTGCAAATGCATTTATATATGCCATAAGAGATTTTTCTTTACTTTCAGTCCAATATCTACTAATAACATAACCTATTAAATTAAATGTCTAATTGCAATTCCGTAACCGATTTAGCTGTACAGAATGCTGTGTTTTTAAACATTTCTATAGAAGTAATTTTGTACATTGCTTCTGGTGAACATTTCTTTCCATTTATGCTATTACATTCTCTACCTAAAGAGCATTAGGGGGAAAAAAGGAGAAGAAAACACATTTTGCATTATTTAAGTGTTTTATTGATATAGAGAACTAGTGCAAAGATATTTGCCCACTGTCTAGGATTACTGTATATAAAACTTCTTCCATATATTTTTTTTTTTTACATAGGCATTAACATAAAATATCTCTAAAGGGAGGTATTAATTGGTAATTTGTACATAAGTGAATCTATCTTAGACTGTTATCTTATAAAAACTGTGTTCAAGCAATTATCTTAAAAAACCTGAAGAGCTGAACACCATTAACACCTCCCAAAACTGTTAGGGCTACACCCCATATTGATAGGGGAGAGAAATTATCTCACTAATGAGAACACAAATACTGTATGTGACTGGATACCATGTGCATGTAGATCATCTTTCTACATGAATTCTGAATATCTGCATCAAGAAACGCAATGCCAGAGGCATCTACACACACACACACACACACAAGCCAAATTAACTTTGACGCAATTTCATAGCTAAGAATGCATCAATCAAATTATAAAAAAAGTAGAATATGGACTTGTTAGGGATGTGCAAAATTTACGGGCAATGACATGCCTTACATTAAATAATTAGGCAAATGAAAATCTACTTTTGCAAATCCCTTGGTACACTACATTTAAAATTGATAAAGTTATTACACAAATCAATATATATATATACGTCAAGTAAGACAATACTTGGCTAGTCAACTGCCAGCAAATGGCTCTCAATGAAGTCACAGTAATATGTTACTTCCCATATCCACCCTGAGCCATATGCTGGCCAGATCCAGAACCGTAATTGTAATTTTGGCCATACCCTTGCCAAGAACCCTGCTGCTGCGATTGCTGTTGACCATAATTGGAATAAGACCCTTCAGATCCAGGCTGAAAACAAAATAAAAGCATCTTTAAAAAAAATGGTATTGTGAAAAAATTAAAGAGAGATAATGAACAAACTGGCTATTTCCTCTCGGGCAGATCTGGACATGTCTATTCCAATTAACCAGTAATTCCTATTTTCTATTATTTCAATTCTTACTATTAACTTGCTATACTCTATTTTTTTACGCATACTATAGTAGTGGGAGAATATTTCAAATCAGTCATCAGAGATTCAAGTAACGTTCCCTTTTAGGTAATAAACTGGTATTAATTTTCTTCAATATCTATTGTTTTTTTTTATCCAAATTCTACTATCACATGTGTACATGTAAATATGAAGTCCAATATATTTACGCTATATGAAGCCACAGCAGCTATTGTGGCACCCATGTGAATAGGATTTTAGAATAAATTGTATATATGAACACAAGAACCATCATACAACAAAAAACAATTAATGTGAATGATGAGAAGAGTACAGAGCACCAATTTAAATAAAATTTACAGTTCTGGCTTCATGCCTTGATTTACACTTTTTTTACCCCACCAAGATACTAAGAGTTGGCACTCTTCAGTATTATTGATTACTGAGACGCTTTCTGAAGATCTCTGTAGGTATGCATTATTAGGTATTCAAGAGATTAATCAAGACTTACTTGAATAAATAATTAACCCAATTTTCAGCTTCTCTTAAATAATTGGAGACATTTTCTGAAACAGCCTAATATAAATTTTGCTTAGATGGATTTTTTTCTATCTAACTATTTCAAGAGTTAAATCAGAAGCGATTTCTTGACATTTCAATTTTTTTTTTAAATTCAATTTTGCCAGATTTTAAAAATTACGCATTAACACTGGTACTACTTATATTGGTATTGTGTTTTTGTGATGGTAATGGAAAGATCTGTTTCATAGACATTTATTTTATTTTATTAGTTCATATGACTGATGATTTTCAAATCTATTTTAAAATTTGAGAAATTTATAAACAAAAAGAGAATAACTATTTGAAAAAACCTATTCACAAACACTTACAATGTATTAAATATACACATGCAATATACTGGCTCCATTAATACATCAATTTTTTGTCTAGGGAAGAAACACGTAATAGAGATTATATTTACTAGTAAAATGTTCATCCTCGCCTGGCAGCAATGCATGACAGATGTGTGCACAGCAATGAATAACCTTATTTTGTACATATTTTGTATATATTCTTTCTTAATAATGTGGGCGTAGGCAATTGTGTATATTGTTGTGAAATTGAAGTTGAAATAGTGACATTATTAATAATAGTTGTAAAGCCAACAATACATGAAAGTACCTATTAACTAAGTTTTTGCATGTAAGTCACAGCAACAGGCAATATGAACAAGGGGATATTATTTCCTTGAAAGCTATAAAAATCAAAGAAAAGCAATCCATAGAAATGTCAAGTAGCGGTAATCATAACATTGGTGAATTGAACACAGTGGATTTAACACAGAATTCATGAACGCTGTAAGAGGTCTAACACAGAAGACCTCAATTGTGAAGAAATTAAATAGGTAAAGCAGGAAAGATAGCATGTAAAAAAAAAGACAACTGTGGTCTACCTTTGTTCCCAATGTACACAATTTTGATAAAATTTGCAGACGA